ACCTGAGCCAGGGGCAAAGGTCGGGGGTCCCCCCTGCTGCCCACCATGCACCTCCCCTGTCTCCCCTGCGCAGCCCTGTTCACCTCCTGCTTCATTGCAGCAGCAGCAGCTGCAGGCGCAGCACCTCTCCCACGCCGCACACGGCCCCCCAGTGCAGCTGCCGCCCCACCCATCAGGCCTGCAGCCTCCAGGGATCCCCCCGGTGACGGGGAGCAGCTCTGGGCTGCTAGCACTCGGTGCGCTGGGCAGCCAGACCCACCTGACGGTGAAGGATGAGAAGAACCACCATGAACTTGACCACAGAGGTGCGGCCCGGGCTGGGGCTCGGGCTGGGGCTGGGGCTGGGGCTGGGGGGACAGGCTCCATGTGGGGGAGTGGCTGCCGCAGATGCTGGAATGTTGGGTCTTAGAGTCAGCAAACGCTCTCCAGATCCTTGCTCCAGTCCTGGGCTCATCGGAAACAGTGCCCCCTTCTCACGTGCCACTTCCTTGTCCCTACCTTGTCCTCTGTCCTGGGAGACCTCCTCTCCTACTCCCACCCACGGGAGCATCCCAGCCCGTCCTGCTCGCCCCAGTCCCTCCTGGACAGACAGACAGGGGTGTTCACTCTCGCACAGCAGTTTAAGAGTTGGCGGTCCCAGGGCCAGCAGGTGGTGTTGAGGTTACAGCACTGGATCCCACATGGCTGGCCACAGTTTAAGTCCCAGACCCATCAGCTTGAAAAGCACACCAGGCGCGTGTGTGGGCATGCACGAAACCCTGAGAGGAGAGTGGAGGAGAAGGGACTGTGGCATGGCCATCCCCCCGGGGGTGATTTCTCACCTTCCCTCTCTCTGTCTCTCTCCGGTGTGTGCAGGTGCCATATGGCAAAAACCTTAAAACAACATCAAAAAAAGAGAGTTGGAGGTCCCAAGACTGAATCTTTCGTTGTTACCCCTGGGGAATGATTGGTCCTCAACAAGGTTATTCGTCCTCTGAGGACAGGTCCGCATGCCCGCCGTTTTCCATGGCACACAGGCAGCGGGGGCTCCGGCTAAGACGTGCTCCCTGGCTGCCTGGAAGTGGCGGTGGCAGGCCCAGTCCAGCACGGGAGATGCCCACCACACAGATTTGGAGCCAGAATTTGCCCCTGCCCCTTACCACAAGGACTCAGGAAGCTGTACCAAGTAGGGGCTCTGGGTAGTGGGGCCAGGAAAGGGCCTGGACCCCCGGCAGATCCTCTTAACGCTGCCGCCCTGTGCCCTTCCCCCACTTACCTGCTTACCGGCTGCCTAGCTGGTGCCTCCTAACTTGTGGCTTAAACAGTGTCTGCTACAGGGTCACAGGGTGTCCTGGCATGTCAGGGAGAACTGGGGTGAGGGCCTCCACTGGCCCATCCCCGGGGGCTGGAGAATGAGGAAGGCTGGAATCAGGACAGTTAATATTTATGCCTAGAAATGCCACCTGATGGCCCATCCTGGCTGCTCACCAACACGGAGCCTGTGCCCGTTTAGAAGCCGGTGCACGGCAAGTCCCAGAGGCTGGACCTTAGGCTAACCTGTTCCTCTTTCCTGTCCTTTTGCCTGGGGTCCAATCTTCCTGCTGTGCTGGCCTTCCGTCCCCAGAGAGAGAATCCAGCGCGGTAAGTGTGGGTACTCTGGAGCCCCTGGGGTGTGATGGGCGGTGGAGAATGGGGAGGCCTGCATGTGGGCTCGAGATTGGCCTCGGTGTCCAGGCCGCCTTCGGCATCCGCTCCGCTCCATGGGCCGAGGCTGGGGTTGGTTGTGCGCTCGCTCGGGCCCGGAGCTGGCCACCTGGCTCCAGGCAGATGTGTTCGTCCGTGGCCATGGTGGTGCTGGTAGGGCAGGGTGGGTACTGTCACAGAGGAGGTGCTACTGTCACCTGTGGGGCGGGGTGGGTACTGTCACAGAGGAGGCGCTGCTGTCACCTGTGGGGCGGGGCGGGGACTGGCACAGAGGAGTCGCGGGGGTGGGTACTGTCACAGAGGAGGCGCTGCTGTCACCTGTGGGGCGGGGTGGGTACTATCACAGACTAGGCGCTGCTGTCACCTGTCGAGTGTGACCTTGAGCTGTGGAAGCCCTTCGTCTCTCCAGGCTTTAGGGCTGGCATTTGTCAAATGAAGAGCTTGGGCTAAATGAGCTCTGAGTCCCTTTTATGTGGGAGATGATTAACCAGAGAAGTCAGCTGACCGGCCCTGGGTCTTCCAAGAGACTTTGGAGTTCCCGGGCTGAGCCCCGGGACTTGGAACCGGGATGGCCTGTCCTGGCTAAGGGTCTCCCCCACCCCCAGGTTGGCTGCCTTCGGCGTTGCTCTGTATCCTTCCAACGCCCAAGGTTTCTCCCTGTTCTGGGCTTTCATTCGGTTTAAGAAAATGCTAGCAAGCGAGCATGAAGGCCGCCGGCTGCGTGTCTGCCAGCTCTGAGATTTGCTGTAAATCTTTCTGATCACACTGAGGCTCCGAGGTTCTGTTTCAAGTGAATAAGCCTTCTGAATCAGCGCAGTGGAGTCTGGATGAAAAAAATCCTCCAGCGATTAGCAAAGCTATTTTATTCCTCCTCGCTGTCCCCGTATCTGGGGCCATCTAATCTGTTAGGATGGCTTTGGTTATTACCTCGTGTTAAGTAGGACTTGGAAGGTCAGGCAGTTAACTAACCATCGAGACAGCAGCTCCTCCACCCCCGGCCACGCTCCCGGCCTGGCCTCCTCCGCCTGCCCCTCCCGCCAGCGGCAGGGGGGGGGGCGCCCCCCCCGCCCCCCCCCCCCCCCTCCCGCCAGCGGCAGGGCTGGTGTCGCCCACCCTGCCTGCCACCCCGCTCTGAAATCCAGGTCCATGTTTGGCCTGGGCACCGCAAAGGCTCGGGAGAAAGCAGTGTTCGAGGCAGCAATGTCTTCCCGTTGATAACCAAGTGGTGGCATTTGAAGGAGCGGTTTGCCCAGGGAGGGAGGGAGCTGGCCTGGACACTTGGGCCCGAGGCCTGGCCCCTGCTGGTTGAAGCAGGCGGCTCTTGGCTCCTCAGCCTCAGTTTCTTTGTCTGAACCACGGGAATACCTCCTGGCCAGCCAGCTCTGGTTGGAAGGCCCCCGTAAGTAGCAGGGCTTGGAACCAGGAGGTTACCTGCAGGGAGCAGGGTGTCCGAAGCCCATCACCCCCTGTCGTCACCTCGTCCTCTCTTCACCCTTGCTAACTCTGGCTCTGTGCCCTGTGAATTCGTTCAACTGAACGAGACCCACGGGGAGCCCTACAAGCAGAGCTCTCCCTGCACCCACACGCTGTGGCAGGCGGCTGCAGAGGGGGACATGAGGCCACTGGGAGAGCCTGGAATGAGCCGGGGCGGGGCGAGGCTGGGGGCTGTGCGCCTGTGGCCGCGGTGCTGGAGGGGGTGTAGATTGAAGCAATCAGCCTTTGGAAACCAGGTTGTCAACAGATGAGGCCTTGGCCGGAAGGACAGGGCTGTGTCGGAGTGGGAGGGGAGGGGCGGTGGACGGGCTGGAAGCTGTCCCAGAGGGGTTAGTCTGGAGTCCAATTAGAGGCAGCTTCATTCATATTTCCTTGCCTAGGCGAAGCAATAAAAAATACTTAGTTTTTTGGCCGCCTGCCAGCCAGAGGCGGGCTGGATCGATGCCGCTAAATGCCTGACATGACTCTCCGGTAGCGGCGAGGGTTTTCAGCCTGACTGCATGAGAAGAAAGAGCTCCTGTTCTCCGGAGCCCTGCACTGGGTCGCGGGAGAAACAGGAGCAGCCCCCGCCCCCTCCCCTGCCCGCCTGCCGCCCGCGAGGGGCAGCCCAGCCAGCGCAGGGCTGGAAGCTTTTCTGCTTAGCACGGGGTGGCCGCCACCATCGGAGGAAATGAAATGAAATGACGGTGATTTTTCTGCCGGGCTCGCTGCAGCTAATTGAATTGCGGCTGGGGGGGCCCCGGCCGCTCCGGCACGGCGGTGGGGAAGGGTGAGCTGCGGCCCCATTATAACCTCCATTTTTTCTTCAAGGCTTGATAACTCTGCCATTTTAATTTGCTTCAGGCAGAAACTTGGCAGGGAAGGGTTGCCCAGACACCAGCTTAGGAAATTCAGTTCTGCGGCTCCTTCCCGCACCGCTCGCCCCCACCCGCCCACCGGCTGCCCGTCCCCGTCCCCTCCCAGTGACCCTCGCGCTGGGCCGGCCTTGCCGCTGACCTGGCAGATGCAAAGCGAACGCCCGTCGCCCTGTCTTTCGGTGCCCTGCTCTGCTGCACGTGACCCATGGCATGTGAGCCAGCGGGGGGCTGGACCGTGCCTGCCCACCTGCCCTGCACCTGCTGGCGTCCAGCGCCAAGCCTGACCGGGGCTCAGATCTCGGGGCCTGGGCAGTGGGAGGTGTCGGTAGTTTGGGCTCTTAGAGTGAGCCCTAGCGAAGCATGGCACCAGCTCTGATGTGACACACTCTGCACAAAGGTTCGCCGCTGGGTGTCCTTGCCTGCAGCTCCCCTCCCTGCTGGCAGCCCTGAGCTGAACGCCCAGGCCAGCCACTCTGAACTTGGGGCTGCCCCCGTTCCTGGGCCCCTGTGTGCACTCTCTCTGGGTTGTTGGCCCATCTGTTGTCCCTCTCTCCAGGCTCCCAACCGCAGAGGGTCCTTGTCATTGGAACTCGTTCCGCCCTTCCCAGCTTGTCCTTTTCTGTGGGAGGCCTGGGCAGGTCCCCCAGTCAGTCAGGGCCCTGTCCCTTCTACAAGGGGGTGGATTCTCTGCCCTCAGTCTTTCCCTGTCTGCGTGGGGCAGGCTTCCTGGCACGGCCAGCCCCATTTCCTTAGAACCCCCCGAGTTTCTCCAGAGTACAGGGCCTCGCATGGAGGGCTGGGGGTCCCCACTGAGCACTCTGGAAGTGTGGTCGGCAGCCGACACTCACTCGCCTGCCAGTCTTCCGCTCCCGACGTGCTCAGGAGACGGAGCATCACGGCCCCGGACTGTCGGTGCGGGCCGTTTCTCCGGACGCAGAGTAAGCTCACTTAACGCTTCCTGTGAGCACACGAGTGTGGCTGGCGTGAAATGGTGAGGAATGAGACACGGGTGCCCCTCGCACTCTGGAGCGTCGTCTGCAGGCAGGAGGCAGAGGGCGCTGAAAGTGCGTTTCTGAGCAGCAGCCGCATTACTGCAGGGAGCAGGGGTGCCCAGGCTGGGCCTTTGAGGAAGGACGCACTGGAGTCCCGGGACAGCTGTGCACTCCGCAGAGGGTCTCTGAGCCCAGGCTTTTCCTGCTTTCAGAACAACTCGGTGTCGCCCTCCGACAGCCTGCGGGCCAGCGAGAAGCACCGGGGCTCCGCCGACTACAGCATGGAAGCCAAGAAGCGGAAGGCGGAGGAGAAGGACAGCCTGAGCCGATACGTACGCCGGGGGTGTGGTGGGCACCCAGGGCCTGTGGTGTGGGAGGGCCTTCCGTGAGGCCGGGCAGTGGGTGGGAGATGGCAGGTGGGGAGAGGCGGCCCCGCAGGGAGGCAGGGCTAGGCGGGGCTTGGCAGTGGTTCAGCCGCGTGCCATGGGCACACGGGACACTGCGGCAGGAGGGGGCAGAGGTGGGGCAGCCC